TTGCGTCCGGCATACTTGCGGCGAATCCCGACATCACGATCAAAGTCCGATCGTACGTGTCGAAAACTTTGTACTTGAATAGTTTCTTTTTGGAACGTAAAAACTCATATTTCGTCATATCCCAACATCTGAGCGCTAAAGGCACTCACGATAGAGCACATTTTGCTTTATTCTAACATTGATCTTTAACCAAGCAGCTTGTAGTTGTTGCATCACTTCTTGGAGAACAGGCCAACATTGTCATTATAAATTTCAAAACCTTTTTCTTTTAGGTTGCGTAGAGTTTTTTTGATGTAGTACTGGGCAAAATCAGGAGCCGGTTTCAATCCCATTGCCATCTGGGTGTGTTGGTACAAACCGTACTAGGTATTGATCACAAAGGTTTTTTGCTCGGCTCATCCAATTCAAAAGAATAATACATCATTGTGAGATCAAGTTTTGTGAAATACTTGCAGCCAGAACGACGGGCAACAATATCATCAATCAAAGGGAAGGGGTATACTTTACGCTTGACATTCTTGTTCAGCTGTCGGAGATCGCTGATCCAACGCACCCTACCGTCCTTCTTTGGAATGATGAATGTTAGCGACGCCCATTCTGACAGGCCTGGTGATTCAAGGACTCCAATCTCTTGTAGATGTTTCAATTATTTGAGGAATGCAGGTTCATGTTGCTTTGGCACCAAACACGCTTTTGAAAACACAGGTTGCTCATTCTCAACGAGCTCCAAGTGAACCTTCTCATGGTTGTGATGGCCTAGTTGACCATCAAAAATCTTGTCTGTATTCTTCAAGGCTTGAGCCAAAATTTGTCACTCCTTTGTAGATAAGGCAGTGCTGTTCTAGACGTATTTTTGTTTTGTTGCCTTTTTTGATTGAATGTTAGAATAAAGCAAAATGTGCTCAATTGTGAGTGCCTTTAGCGCTCAGAACAAACTCACTGTAATCTAAATTTGTAGTCGACTATACAACACTTTCACGACAATAGTTCTCCTGTGTTAGGTATACTTTGAGTGAAATTGTTCCTATTTGATTCATGTTTGGCTTGAACAAAAAAGTGAGTTGAACGATTTTCCCCTGGAGAATCCCTTGTTTACAGAACTCGATTCAACTTCTACAAGGATTCTGTGTTGAATATAGTACTTTGGGACATCTTGATTTTTCCCTGCTGCGTTGTATACAACATCAATATCTCACTTGCATATGGTCATTCCCTTTTTGTGTGGATATAGATTGTCTGACAGACTTGCGTCCGGCATACTTGCGTCGAATCCTGACATTACGATCAAAGTCCGATCGAACGTGTCAAAAACTTTGTACTTGAATAGTTTCTTTTTGGAACGTAAAAACTCATATTTCGTCATATCCCAACACTTTTGCTTTTCAGCAACTTCAGCACCTGAAGTAGCTTCATATTTTGTGTCCATCACCATTATCATCATTGTATATATCCAGAACATCGCAATCCAATGCCATTGAGTAGTTTATGTGGTTTTGCCAATGATCTGGAGTCTTCACTGGAATGAACTTGTCTATCCATTTGACTTGTCCGTTTGTAAATTGGATATCCAAGCACCTTTTGTGTAGAAGGTCGCGTCCGATGATGATGGCAAATCAAAGACATCACCTTGACACCGTTGATACCTGCAATTCTGTGGTGTTTGTCAAATTTGGGAAAGGCTCTGTCCTGCAATTTGACACATTTGTCAGAAACAAAATTACCAGCAACAGTAGTGCACTTCTTTGCATTTTGTATACTTTGTACCTTAGCATTTTTAGGAATCGCCCTTGCATTGATCATTGTCTGTGATCCTCCTGAATCAAATAATACTCGTAAAACTCTTCCACTTTCAATTCCTCCAATTTTTCTCATCAAATACTCCATAGAATTTACGTCTTGTTTTGCCATAGGTATACGAAGAAAAGAATCATTCAAAAGAAACTCCTTTTCATCTTTAGTCATGGGACCATCTTCATATGAGTCCTTTGCTCTCTAGTTGTACTACCAGGTTCGTCATTACCCGGCTTTTTTGTGCGGTCCGTATTGCGGTTGCTTGCAGCACATGGGGGGAATGGTACCTGTGTCGATGTTGAATTTGTAACCTAGGATGTATTTTTGCATCCCTTCCTTGGCAAAGACATCACAGTATTCCTTCAAGATTGCGTCAAATATGGGCTGCCATTTGCTCGGCAGTCTCTGTATTGCACCTGTGACACGAGTTCCTCCAAGTGTTTGTCTGCATTCCATTCGATAATGTCTGTACGCCTTTCCACTGATGCTTTTTTTATTACTGTCTTTCCGTGTTCTTTGAACATCCAATCGTGGGTTGCAGGACTGTCAAAGTCCGCCTCCGGTTCTTCATACACGTTTTTCACTTGCGCTCGCCAAATCCGCTTTGGGACTTTGAATGGCTTTGTCCCATCCGGAAATTGTCCCCATTTGGCAATCATTTGTTCTTCCTCGGTTGCTGATGTTGCTGCAAACGTTTGATATGCCGCTTCCTCTATGGTCATGATCATTGGGTGGGCAATGGGAGAGAACCCTTGCGTTCTGCTGATCTGTTTGTCGTATCCTGCTTCCAGCACTCTTTGGAGGAAGTCTGTTGGATTTCTCTGTCAAAGGTTCTCGTCTGTGGTGTCAAATCTGACCGATAATACTTTGTGATCCAATGCTTGGTTCCATTCCACATGTTCCGTTGGGAGAAGTCTCGGGCATTCCAATGTGAGGTCAAATTCTTTGTTGAAGAAGTTGGAAATGGCTGCGTTTCTGTAGAATTGAGCTACCAGCTTGGCTTTTAGGATGAATGGTAATCCATAAAGGGTGTTGATCGGAAGGTCGCCTGTCAGTCCTATCATCAAAATGTGATTCTTGCCCTGTCTGTTTTCAAAAGGAATGAAGTACTCAATCATACAGAAAAAAATGTACTCATATTTTTTTGATACATCAGAACTTTTTCCTACGAGAGACGCCACAGGGCTATTGTACCAGAGTTATTTTGAAACACTGTTGAAAATTTCCTTAAGTAATTCATTTAATGAAACTATTTGTGGTACTACTATGTCATAGGAACTCATGTAGAGAGACTTGGTGGTTAAGATTCATGTATGTAGAATTCCTACAAATATTCAATTTTTTCTAATTTTTCCAACAAGACTCGTTCGGAATTTTCGGGACTCTAAATGGGGAATCAAAATTCCAGGGGATTTGCGATTTTGACTCATCTCCCCTTCCTTCGCTAGCCAATATCTGCATTCACCACATCATTCAACAGTTTCAACGCGCGCGAAAAACGCGAAAAACGCTATTATAACCCCTCATGTGTTCCTGAGCCACCCCCACATAAAAAGAAGCTGCAGACGAAGCGGTTATGTGCAAACAGTTCTTCGTTCTGTCGATCAGTGTTGGTATACTTTCAGTATATCAAATTGCCGTCTACTATGTGTACAGAGAAGGAAGTCTTTGGTCTACAGCCGATGATCTTGAAGCGATGAATCAACCCGCTTTCAAGGTTGGAAGCAGAACTGTACAATCAAATCATTTTGACAATGGTGACGATGCATTTTCTTCTTGTCTCAAGTCATTTCATAATAATTTTCTGATTCCCTTACAACGTTTCAATCATGAGAATAGAAACAGTGATAACCCTGTTCGTGTTACACTAGTATCCGAATTCTATGCGCACTTTAGAATGAATGCTACAATGTCAAATATAACGCTTGACGTTCGCAACGATATGCATAGACGACAAACTGTCAAAGATAACATCCATGATAACGCAGAGCATGCTCGATTTGTCTTTCTTGTGAGTGGCGAAGGAAGTACCAGCACATTCGACGCCATGCAAATGTCATACCAAACTTTAAAGAATATTCTAGCGAAGGTCCCAATTGAAATCGATGCGGAAATTCTTTTCGCACCCGGTGGGGTAACCTATCGTCACTTGTTCGCAGCAGCTATGCGCTTTGAGGAAGCATTTTTGGTATATAACTCCGACATTGCCGTTGGCAATTTGTCTTTGCTTTTGGACTCTTGCGGCCCCAACTTGGATTTCGGCGCTTTGGTGGGATCTAGGACGGACACCTTTCGCCATGCTAATGCGACAAAGCCTACTTGCTTTGAATACATGAATATGGGAAGCTTTGACATATTCATGACTAATAGAAAAGGTTTGCTTGTCAAAGGAGACAGCAAATGCAGCTTTTTGAATAACTTGCGCTTTCCTCAGTACTATTGGGGCGCCGAGAATGTGGTCGCTTTTTTGTTATCTACACGAAAGAGGGTAGCCAACATATGCTCCCGTTGGATTTTCCGGCATATGCACGAGTCTAAGACACTTGACGTACAACGAGGACCAAGAAGCAGGGACCGACCTAATCGAATTCGCATCAATCATCAGCATAATGATTGGGGTGGAGTTGAGACATGGATGCAGAACCTAAGTGATACCTGCAATTTAGATCTTCTTCCGCCAACTGAAGAAGGAAACTTCACAAAGCCAAATGTAAAGTGGAACAGGTGGAAAAGAACAAAAGAACAAAAGCTCATTTTAGCTGAAACATTTGAAAAGTTAAAAGCAAAACAACTGGCTTGAAACAGGTGAAGAAACTAAAGATTTTTGGTAGATGTGGATTCTCATTTCAGATCTTTTCAGCAAACTAATGTTTGGGTGACTCTTATTTTGACTTGTTCTGGTGAGATGATACAAAGTTATAAAACCAGACTGCAAATGTGCATGAACATAACTATTACACTGCCATTTATCTTCAGTTGACCAATCCTTTCTGGGGATTGTGGTACTTTTATCAACAGTTTTGGTTGCCTCATTGTCTCCCATAGTATGGTATATCATTGAGTACATTCTTTGTGAGAATTGGCCAGCTGCAACATGTGAAGTAGATTCACACTATACTTCTACACTGCTAATCGTCAACTGTGTACCATACAAGCAAAAGCGCCTCTAACGTGCGGCCGAGGAGTTCCACAGTATATCAATATCCTGACCTCCCACCATACACCTATCCCCATCAGTGAGGGTGTTTGTAATAGACATTGATACCTATAGGTGAAACTGTAGCTCTTGGGGCTATACGTGGGAACATTGCCACTGCTGTGATTTCCACAGACCTACATGACATTCCTGACCTAAGGAATTGGGATATTGAGTATTGTATGGGCAGAAGAACACTCAGGGTAGCCGAGACTCGAACTTGAGACCTCTGGCTATGCGACTGTTAATCGTCAACTGTGTACCATACAAGCAAAAGCGCCTCCCATGCACGGCCAAGCAGTTCTACTGCATATTTGAACATCCCACAATTGAAAATGAACACCAAAAATTAATACACTAGTCGGACAGTAGAGTACCACTGCAAGAGAGCTGCTGTAAAAGAACAAATGTCTGCATTGTGACAGAATTGTCACAATGCTGCAAGTAAGAGACGAGTGGAATGGTTTTAGAATGGGCTGCCTGCTGGAACCTGACACTGCTTGGTTCTGCAAATTCCGGGGACATGCCAAAAAAAACCTGTCGATGATTTTTTAAGTAAAAAATGGCACTCCGCCAGCCTGCGCAAAAGGCCTCAGTTCCCTGTCAATGGTTGTGAAGACAGCAAAAACTCTGTCAATGATTGTGAAACAAGAAAAGAACTCTGTCAATAATTGTGATAGTGAGAGTATAAGTAATACTTAAAGATTTCCACAATAAAAAGAGAATTCCAAATGTTCACAATCATTGACAGATTTGTTAGAAGTAAGCGATCCACTGCCGGCTGCAATCTGTTGGATATATTTAAGGACATATTTGGAGAAACGAGAAAAAGAGAATACATGTGATAGAGAAATGATGTTGACTGGTAGGACTAAACATGAAGACTGATGCGACTAAAAATATCACGCATGGCGAGTCAGAAAACAGATCATATTTCTATGGAAATCATCCTGTTGATGATGTAAGAAAGCAAAATTCAAGCAAGAACCAAAGTTGGATACTACTCAAAGTACCAACCACAGTGGAAGGTGAACGGATAAGCACAATGGAAATAAGAGTGGCAATGGTAGCCAGAAAGAGAAGAAGTTTCATCCTCTGACTAGAGGAAACATTCCCAAATTCTGCTCTGATGAAGTAAAGAAGACATTGGTGATTAAAATGTCAATGACAAAGAAGGATCATATTGATGACATGATTCAAAGTGTACGAACCTTGAAGTTGTTCAATATTGAAAGTGTGAAGCCAACATTGGTATTGGTAACTGATGACTGTTGGGATATGACAAAATATGAGTTTTTACGTTCCAAAAAGAAACTATTCAAATACGAAGTTTTCGGCATGTATGATCGGACTTTGATAGTGCTGTCGGGATTCGATGCAAGTATGCCGGACGCAAGTCTGTCAGACAATCTACATCCACACAAAAAGGGAATGACCCTATACAAGTGAGATATCGATGTTGTGTACAACGCAGTAGGGAATAATGCAAGATGTCCCAAAGTACTGCATCCAACACAGAATTGTCGTAGAGGTCGAATCAAGTTCTGTAAACAAGGGATTTTCCAAGGGAAAATCGTTGAACTTACTTTTGTGATTGAATCATCAATTCAAGCCAAACATTAATCAAATAGGAACAATTTCACTCAAAAGTATACCTAGACACAGGAGAACTATTGTCGTGAAAGTGTTGTACAATCGATTACAAATTTAGATTGCAGAGAGTTTGTTCTGAGCGCTAAAGGCACTCACAATAGAGCACATTTTGCTTTATTCTAACATTCAATCACAAAAGGCAACAAAACAAATTTACGTCAAGAACAGCACTGCCTTATCTACAAAGGAGTGAGTGATTCGTTGACAATGGGACGTTCTTCATCCGGTGGTGGAAGAGGAAGTGTGACTCCTCAGAGAGTCAAGAGCAATTCAAGTTCAACAGTTGTGAAACATCTATTTTTAACAAAAGATGAAAACAATGGAAAGGCAAGATCGTCGTACAAAGATGCCGAGGAAAGAGTGATTGACTACATCCAAGCTTCTGGAATGAAATGTTCCGAAGACATGGTGAAATCAATTCAAGATGGAAAGTCGATCAACTCAATGCAATCGCTCCAAGATTGAACTCTCCAACTCAAAGTGAAGCTGTTGCAAGAGAAACAGAGATGGCCCAAAACAAGATTCTCTATCCTGCAAAGCTCGACAAGAGCATGCAAAGATCAGCCTACTTCGAGACAAACAAGAGAACCGTCAAATCAAACATCATGCTGAAGTTTGTGACAAAGGCAATGGATATCAAGCTTCGAGGTGAAGCCAATTTCACGACTACTCTTGAAGATCCAATTGAACTCTTGAAACGTATTGAACGAGTCATGAAGAAGAGTGCTGATGCTGAGTATGATTTCTTGGATTTCTGGGAAGCGAATCAAAAGTTCTTTGCTATGAAGCAAGGAACAACCAAAAACTTGATGCATTTCAAGGAAGGATTCTTGAGACAGGCTGAAGTCCTGCAAGATCTGTATGTCATGAAAAAAATGGTGAGTTCCAGCCGATGCTTGTTGTGGAATTTTGATCCATCATCATTCTTACCATGTGCTTCCACCATATAGGTCCAATATGATGTTTGTTCCAATCAATGAATACATACTGGTACGCAATTGGGACATGGTCGAGGCAATTCTGAGGAGTAGAACTGGATTTGATGGACAAAATGGTGAGTTCCAGCTGATGCTTGTTGTGGAATTTTTATCCATCATCATGCTTACCATGTGCTTCCAACATATACCTCCAATATGGCGATTGTTACAATCAATGAATACATACTGGTGAGCAATTGGGACATGGTCGAGGCAATTCTGAGGAGTAGAACTGGATTTGATGGAAAAATGGTGAGTTCCAGCCAATGCTTGCTGCAGAATTTTGATCCATCATCCACCATATAGAAACAATATGATGGTTGTTCCAATCAATGAATACATACTGGTACGCAATTGGGACATGGTCGAGGCAATTCTGAGGAGTAGAACTCGATTTGATGGACAAAATGGTGAGTTCCAGCCGATGCTTGCTGCAGAATTTTGATCCATCATCCACCATATAGAAACAATATAATGGTTATTCCATACAATGGCTACATTCTGGCAACTGCTTGGGACATGGTCGAGGCAATTCTGGGGAGTAGAACTGGATTTGATGGACAAAATGATGAGTTCCAGCCGATGCTTGTTGCCGAATTTTGATCCATCATCATGCTTACCATGTGCTTCCACCATATAGGTCCAATATGATGTTTGTTCCAATCAATGAATACATACTGGTACGCAATTGGGACATGGTCGAGGCAATTCTGAGGAGTAGAACTGGATTTGATGGACAAAATGGTGAGTTCCAGCTGATGCTTGTTGTGGAATTTTTATCCATCATCATGCTTACCATGTGCTTCCAACATATACCTCCAATATGGCGATTGTTACAATCAATGAATACATACTGGTGAGCAATTGGGACATGGTCGAGGCAATTCTGAGGAGTAGAACTGGATTTGATGGAAAAATGGTGAGTTCCAGCCAATGCTTGCTGCAGAATTTTGATCCATCATCCACCATATAGAAACAATATGATGGTTGTTCCAATCAATGAATACATACTGGTACGCAATTGGGACATGGTCGAGGCAATTCTGAGGAGTAGAACTCGATTTGATGGACAAAATGGTGAGTTCCAGCCGATGCTTGCTGCAGAATTTTGATCCATCATCCACCATATAGAAACAATATAATGGTTATTCCATACAATGGCTACATTCTGGCAACTGCTTGGGACATGGTCGAGGCAATTCTGGGGAGTAGAACTGGATTTGATGGACAAAATGATGAGTTCCAGCCGATGCTTGTTGCCGAATTTTGATCCATCATCATGCTTACCATGTGCTTCCACCATATAGGTCCAATATGATGTTTGTTCCAATCAATGAATACATACTGGTACGCAATTGGGACATGGTCGAGGCAATTCTGAGGAGTAGAACTGGATTTGATGGACAAAATGGTGAGTTCCAGCTGATGCTTGTTGTGGAATTTTTATCCATCATCATGCTTACCATGTGCTTCCAACATATACCTCCAATATGGCGATTGTTACAATCAATGAATACATACTGGTGAGCAATTGGGACATGGTCGAGGCAATTCTGAGGAGTAGAACTGGATTTGATGGAAAAATGGTGAGTTCCAGCCAATGCTTGCTGCAGAATTTTGATCCATCATCCACCATATAGAAACAATATGATGGTTGTTCCAATCAATGAATACATACTGGTACGCAATTGGGACATGGTCGAGGCAATTCTGAGGAGTAGAACTCGATTTGATGGACAAAATGGTGAGTTCCAGCCGATGCTTGCTGCAGAATTTTGATCCATCATCCACCATATAGAAACAATATAATGGTTATTCCATACAATGGCTACATTCTGGCAACTGCTTGGGACATGGTCGAGGCAATTCTGGGGAGTAGAACTGGATTTGATGGACAAAATGATGAGTTCCAGCCGATGCTTGTTGCCGAATTTTGATCCATCATCATGCTTACCATGTGCTTCCACCATATAGGTCCAATATGATGTTTGTTCCAATCAATGAATACATACTGGTACGCAATTGGGACATGGTCGAGGCAATTCTGAGGAGTAGAACTGGATTTGATGGACAAAATGGTGAGTTCCAGCTGATGCTTGTTGTGGAATTTTTATCCATCATCATGCTTACCATGTGCTTCCAACATATACCTCCAATATGGCGATTGTTACAATCAATGAATACATACTGGTGAGCAATTGGGACATGGTCGAGGCAATTCTGAGGAGTAGAACTGGATTTGATGGAAAAATGGTGAGTTCCAGCCAATGCTTGCTGCAGAATTTTGATCCATCATCCACCATATAGAAACAATATGATGGTTGTTCCAATCAATGAATACATACTGGTACGCAATTGGGACATGGTCGAGGCAATTCTGAGGAGTAGAACTCGATTTGATGGACAAAATGGTGAGTTCCAGCCGATGCTTGCTGCAGAATTTTGATCCATCATCCACCATATAGAAACAATATAATGGTTATTCCATACAATGGCTACATTCTGGCAACTGCTTGGGACATGGTCGAGGCAATTCTGGGGAGTAGAACTGGATTTGATGGACAAAATGATGAGTTCCAGCCGATGCTTGTTGCCGAATTTTGATCCATCATCATGCTTACCATGTGCTTCCACCATATAGGTCCAATATGATGTTTGTTCCAATCAATGAATACATACTGGTACGCAATTGGGACATGGTCGAGGCAATTCTGAGGAGTAGAACTGGATTTGATGGACAAAATGGTGAGTTCCAGCTGATGCTTGTTGTGGAATTTTTATCCATCATCATGCTTACCATGTGCTTCCAACATATACCTCCAATATGGCGATTGTTACAATCAATGAATACATACTGGTGAGCAATTGGGACATGGTCGAGGCAATTCTGAGGAGTAGAACTGGATTTGATGGAAAAATGGTGAGTTCCAGCCAATGCTTGCTGCAGAATTTTGATCCATCATCCACCATATAGAAACAATATGATGGTTGTTCCAATCAATGAATACATACTGGTACGCAATTGGGACATGGTCGAGGCAATTCTGAGGAGTAGAACTCGATTTGATGGACAAAATGGTGAGTTCCAGCCGATGCTTGCTGCAGAATTTTGATCCATCATCCACCATATAGAAACAATATAATGGTTATTCCATACAATGGCTACATTCTGGCAACTGCTTGGGACATGGTCGAGGCAATTCTGGGGAGTAGAACTGGATTTGATGGACAAAATGATGAGTTCCAGCCGATGCTTGTTGCCGAATTTTGATCCATCATCATGCTTACCATGTGCTTCCACCATATAGGTCCAATATGATGTTTGTTCCAATCAATGAATACATACTGGTACGCAATTGGGACATGGTCGAGGCAATTCTGAGGAGTAGAACTGGATTTGATGGACAAAATGGTGAGTTCCAGCTGATGCTTGTTGTGGAATTTTGATCCATTATCATGCTTACCATGTTCTTCCACCATATAGCTCCAATATGGTGATTGTTACAATCAATGAATATTGTGGATTTCACTGTTTTTGGCAATATTGGGTAACAAAACCTGAAATAATAACCCCCTTTTTGGGCTGAGTACCTAATACATCTCAATGACGTTTCTCTATAAAAAATAAATAAGAAAAAATATAGCCACATGAAATCAGTAGGAAACATACGAAGATACATTCGTTGATGAGGCTAGTATGCAGATAATGGATGAACAATGACAACCATCCATTTAGATAAGAAATATAAACCTGGAATGGCACTCAGCAGAGTGCTATTCCAGCCTTAGATCATAAAATAACAGAGCCAGATTATGACATACTCGACTGACTTTTGGTGGAGAGTCGTGAGTTCACAGCTGAATCCGATTGAAGTTTGCTTTGGACGACTAAAGAGATATATTCAGAAGAAGGCCAACCTAGTCTTTCCACTCTATCCTGAGTTGGTGTTGAAGGTTGCCTTGAGAGAGTGCACAAGAAATCAAAATGTCTCTGGTTCTACAGGAAAATATACTCATTGCAGCTATGCAATGGTGGATTGGACGATGATGTTTTTGATAATCTTTGTTATCCTGCTAATAATGATGATTGACTCTAGTCTTGATTAAGGTGATCTATATCTTCCATGTCAGCTCCGTCTGGAAGAACTGGATCTGTATACTCATTGTAGATGCCTTGGTGGAAGCTTTTATGGTTTGGAAGTGAAAGAGCCTGACGGAGCAATACAATGTTCATACAAATCATGGCCTTGGCACCACCAAATAGCTCAATTTCGACATGCCTGTACACACTGTTGCTATCGGCTAGAGCCTGAGCATCCTCATTCTGCAATTGTGCTCGGTCGCGATCGAGTGCTTGGGCTTGGCAGGTTGTCGCATCAGTCGGGATCGCAAGCTCTGTACCTTTGGGAGCCCTTGCATTGAATGTTGCCAAATGTTGTTCAGCAATTGGTCCAATTTGTAGATTGTTTGCTGCTGCATTTGATGGAAAAAATGGTGAGTTCCAGCTGATCCTTGTTGTGGAATTTTGATCCATCATCATGCTTACCATGTGCTTCCACCATATAGCTCCAATATGGTGATTGTTACAATCAATGAATACATAATGGTGAGCAATTGGGACATGGTCGAGGTAATTCTGAGGAGTAGAACTGGATTTGATAGAACTGGATTTGATGGAAAAAATGGTGAGTTCCAGCTGATCCTTGTTGTGGAATTTTGATCCATCATCATGCTTACCATGTGCTTCCACCATATAGGTCCAATATGGTGATTGTTACAATCAATGAATACATACTGGTGAGCAATTGGGACATGGTCGAGGCAATTCTGAGGAGTAGAACTGGATTTGATGGAAAAAATGGTGAGTTCTGTTGGGATATGACGAAATATGAGTTTTTACGTTCCGAAAAGAAACTATTCAAGTACGAAGTTTTCGACACGTACGATGGGACTTTGATCGTGATGTCGAGATTCGCCGCAAGTATGCCTGACGCAAGTCTGTCGGACAATCTACATCCACACAAAAAGGGAATGACCCTATACAAGTGAGATATCGATGTTGTGTACAATGCAGTAGGGAATAATACAATATGTCCCAAAGTACTGTATCCAACACAGAATCGTCGTAGAGGTCGAATCAAGTTCTGAACTTACTTTTGTGATTGAATCATCAATTCAAGCCAAACATTAATCAAATAGGAACAATTTCACTCAAAGTATACCTAGACACAGGAGAACTATTGTCGTGAAAGTGTTGTACAGTCGATTACGAATTTAGATTGCAGAGAGTTTGTTCTGAGCGCTAAAGGCACTCACAATAGAGCACATTTTGCTTTATTCTAACATTCAATCACAAAAGGCAACAAAACAAATTTACGTCAAGAACAGCACTGCCTTATCTACAAAGGAGTGAGTGATTCGTTGACAATGGGACGTTCTTCATCCGGTGGTGGAAGAGGAAGTGTGACTCCTCAGAGAGTCAAGAGCAATTCAAGTTCAACAGTTGTGAAACATCTATTTTTAACAAAAGATGAAAACAATGGAAAGGCAAGATCGTCGTACAAAGATGCCGAGGAAAGAGTGATTGACTACATCCAAGCTTCTGGAATGAAATGTTCCGAAGACATGGTGAAATCAATTCAAGATGGAAAGTCGATCAACTCAATGCAATCGCTCCAAGATTGAACTCTCCAACTCAAAGTGAAGCTGTTGCAAGAGAAACAGAGATGGCCCAAAACAAGATTCTCTATCCTGCAAAGCTCGACAAGAGCATGCAAAGATCAGCCTACTTCGAGACAAACAAGAGAACCGTCAAATCAAACATCATGCTGAAGTTTGTGACAAAGGCAATGGATATCAAGCTTCGAGGTGAAGCCAATTTCACGACTACTCTTGAAGATCCAATTGAACTCTTGAAACGTATTGAACGAGTCATGAAGAAGAGTGCTGATGCTGAGTATGATTTCTTGGATTTCTGGGAAGCGAATCAAAAGTTCTTTGCTATGAAGCAAGGAACAACCAAAAACTTGATGCATTTCAAGGAAGGATTCTTGAGACAGGCTGAAGTCCTGCAAGATCTGTATGTCATGAAAAAAATGGTGAGTTCCAGCCGATGCTTGTTGTGGAATTTTGATCCATCATCATTCTTACCATGTGCTTCCACCATATAGGTCCAATATGATGTTTGTTCCAATCAATGAATACATACTGGTACGCAATTGGGACATGGTCGAGGCAATTCTGAGGAGTAGAACTGGATTTGATGGACAAAATGGTGAGTTCCAGCCGATGCTTGCTGCAGAATTTTGATCCATCATCCACCATATAGAAACAATATAATGGTTATTCCATACAATGGCTACATTCTGGCAACTGCTTGGGACATGGTCGAGGCAATTCTGGGGAGTAGAACTGGATTTGATGGACAAAATGATGAGTTCCAGCCGATGCTTGTTGCCGAATTTTGATCCATCATCATGCTTACCATGTGCTTCCACCATATAGGTCCAATATGATGTTTGTTCCAATCAATGAATACATACTGGTACGCAATTGGGACATGGTCGAGGCAATTCTGAGGAGTAGAACTGGATTTGATGGACAAAATGGTGAGTTCCAGCCGATGCTTGCTGCAGAATTTTGATCCATCATCCACCATATAGAAACAATATAATGGTTATTCCATACAATGGCTACATTCTGGCAACTGCTTGGGACATGGTCGAGGCAATTCTGGGGAGTAGAACTGGATTTGATGGACAAAATGATGAGTTCCAGCCGATGCTTGTTGCCGAATTTTGATCCATCATCATGCTTACCATGTGCTTCCACCATATAGGTCCAATATGATGTTTGTTCCAATCAATGAATACATACTGGTACGCAATTGGGACATGGTCGAGGCAATTCTGAGGAGTAGAACTGGATTTGATGGACAAAATGGTGAGTTCCAGCTGATGCTTGTTGTGGAATTTT